TAAAGGAGTCCGACGGCCCTGAGAGGATAAGTTTCGGCATCGCAGCATCGTGATCGAGAAGTTGATGCGCCTTCCGGCTCTGGAATTTCAACTCGGCTTTCCTTGTCTGAAGAGACATGTTTTTAGCGGCTCTCGCAAAATCCTCTCGCCCATGGAAGCGGACCAGATCGATTTCAGCATCACAGTTGTGTTCGTCGAAGAGCTCGGCATTTATGCTCGTAATGCCTGGGAGTTTGAGTGAGAGATCCAGCGCGGCTCTGAGATCGAATCTGCTGAAATAATTCGACTGCCGTTGAGTCGGATTAGGTCCCAGGTAAAGAGAGCCGATAGATGTGAGCGTCGGTAGCCTGTTTGGGTCAAGAAGCCGTATGAACCATGCTTCTGGTATCCTAATCTCCGTCTCACGCGTCTCAGGACTAGTGATTGCAAGATCAATCGTGCCTTGCGGGCCATCATCCTCTTCGAGGTTCTGAAGGCAATCAAAGAGCTGATGGATCTGACTGGAAAGATACTCCGCGTTGCGCTTCGCTTCTGCGGCGTTGTCTGCTGTTGATCGTATCCTGTTTGGCAGCCGTTGGGGCAGCAAAACCAGCTTATACTCCAGCTTCCGCAACCAGCAGAAGCGCGCACCGCGAAATTTTTCCTCAAATTCACAGAGATCACGCACTCGCAGAGTGCAGTCTGTGAAGCCGTCAGAATACTTCTCCGCCGCGGTGCGAAGCTTAGGCGATAGAAGTAGTAGGTTTTTGAGGTCGGGTCGGTGCAAGTTCGATGCGATCTGGTCGACGACTTCCTGGGGGAGGATCTCCATGGCCATACTCAAATTTCGATGCTCAACTGTCTTCGTGAGATTCTGAGAACTTGTCTTGGAAGGTGCAGTAAAAGTTGGGAGGATCACGAAGATGATAGAAATGAAGCCATTGACGTCGCACAGCCAATGGCAGAAGGCTTATCCGCATCCGGTGATGCTTTGCTCGCAGGGGTGGCATTGCCGGACAGAGACAAACACATACGAGCTTACTCAGCCGTGGCTTGCCCAGGTCATTCGGAAATCCGTCACATTGATGCATTAGGTAAGGTGATGTACTGGAGGAACGCAAACTGCCAGCGCTAGAGTTTAGGGGTTATCGCTAAGGACTCTTCTATCCAGAACTCTGTTCTCTCACTGATCTCAAGGTGTAAACGAATATTCGGTCACCCTCAGTAGTCAGACAATAAATGGTAGTCTGAACATATCGTGCAGTCGCGTATTCACAGATTGCCCGTCGGCATCCTGCCAAGAGCCAAGGCGCCGGCGGGCTCTCCAACCCTACAATTCCACTCCGCTGGCGACGATCTCAAGGGGGTAATCATAATTACCAATGATGAAGCTTCCCTTCAGATCCCATATCACTCGGTCTTCTATGCCCATGGCAGTCCATCTTCAAATCTTGGTTCTATGGAAACTTCAGAAGCAATACATTTGCCGAACCAGGAGGGTGTAACATCACTCCCTTGTCCGGCGGCGAATTGACGGCCCCACTTCGACCGGCACTCAGGCCGGCCCCCGGGACAAAGTATTCCTATTCCCCCGCGCCTTCAATGTAGCCCAAAATGCGCATCTATGTTGACTCTTTAAAATCAGCGTCCACGAGATTGACCATCTAGTTCGTATTGGACCGTAACTTCTTGAGTTCTCATGATGATGTGCTTCTGGCTATCGGAATCATCATCCAGCTGAACCCAGGTGTCGTGAGGGCCACTTTGGCAGTTCGAAACTGTCAAGCCTCGCCCGCTGAGGTTATTCATTCTAACACCGTTGCTTCCAGCCTGCATTCCAGATATAGCATTCAGACCATTCGACCCTGTGTTGTTGTAAGACCCCTTGCTGGACTTATCTAGCCAGAACTTGAGCAGTCGCCTCAAAGACGGCAGCGAGCCGGCAATGATACCGATGCCACATTCGAGAATCGACCACAAAACAATATTTGCAATGTTATCTGGAGAATATCTGATCAGCCACGGCGATGAAAAGAAAGAGACAAGCTACAAAATGAGCGAACACTTACGCAAGTAATTCTCGACTTGGTTATAGTATTGCAAGTACGGCAGTCGGACTATCGTAGCGGCGCTTGCACTGGAGTAACATAATAGTTAGCAATCGTAGCAAATTCATTATTGAACTGCACAAAAACCCACATCGCACCTAGCGCAAGCACAGCGCAAACAGAAACTTTTACTCTCGACTTCATCTGTAAGCCCCACACAACAACTGTCGGGACGATTGCGCAGGTCCAGTCGGTTACAATGGCTAGGACCGAGATCATGTAGCTAATTGTGGTAATAATATTCTGAGGTGCACACTGTCCGTCCACTGACTTATCCCAAGTGTACTCCATTGGGCGGCATACTGCAACCACGGCAATGAAGCCGACGGTGGTGCTGAGTCCTGATGCAATCATGACGGCCCAAAGGATGGTTCGGTATCTTCTTCGATTCGTGATGCGGAATACAGTTAAGCAGATACTGGCTTTGATGAATGGAAGGCTCCATGCGTAAGTAATCTGGAAAAAGACAAGCCACTGTTCGACATTGGGGTTAGTCTGCTAACTCGAATACGGGGTTGTAGGAAAAAGGGATGAAGACTTAAGGTACTTTGATACCGGCTACCATATTCCATTCTTGCAGATGAGCATCTGTTGTTCCCATTCCTGCATATACCGCAATGGAGGTGAAGACGCAACATGCCAGGTAAATCGCCTATTGTCAAATAGTCAGTGGCAGAAAGTAAAGCAAGATCGTACAAAATACTCACCACGCCAATGCCCATGAGGTAGTCATCTGTACCTGTTGCTCGCGTCTTGTGTCGTGCCCACAGTCGTAGGATGAAAACAACAAAAGATATGGATCCTAGGCAAATTGTAATTCCCAGGGTCGCCATCCTTAGGAGATCTGGTTTAGTGATCCAATTCACCTCCATCTCGTCGAAAGGCTTCGCCGCCATTTTGAGAGCTGAACTCGAAAGATTGGTGACCCTTGAGTTTCAATAGGCTGTTTCAATGTTCTTCAGCAGAGCATAGCCCTTCTGCTTGACGTCGTGCAGCGATCCAAGATATTGACGAAAAAAGTGCTTTCTGTGGCCGGATGCTTGATGATATGGTATTGAAGAATGTTTGACTGAAGAACAGATTCTTCAGATCCCCTGCCATCTACCGAGCGATCAAAACTCACAAAGATCAACCACTTCTACAAACATTGAATATCCTGCAATAGAGAGACACAGGAGATTTGTGTTGGGACATCGATTGAACCATGTTCATCGATAGACAATCGTCATGGTCCACTTACATTTCAACTTTCGGGCGTTCATTTTACCCCCTGAATTGCAAGCCCCTGATCGTCGAGACTTATAATTCCGATATGATTTCGTTGCCATACAAATCGTTTTGCGGTGGTCTTGGAAATCCAGGGTCGGGATTTGATGGAGCGGTTCTTTGGGTTGTTTGCGAACAAAAGTTCCTGCCATCCATGTTCAAAGTAAATCTCACGATGCCATCCTTTATGGATATGAGCGGCCCAGACACCCTGCACTAGCCTCCAACAATCACTGTGCAACTGCTTGTGCCTGCTAAGTGGGTGACATATTAGATCACCAGTCAACAAATGATTATAACACTTACGACCTATTTATTTTATTATTAGTTAACTTCTATATATTTACTAAAGAATACTCTTCAAGAAGTAGAAAGTGAAAAATAGTAGGAAAAGAGCTAGGGTTCATAGAGCGGCAAACGATTATGTCACCCACTTGCCTGCTTCGAGGAGTGGAACTGCGACAGCAGAATGATTGTCCAGGGACTGGATGTTGGAAGACGATGCCTGCGAAGAGCTGTGGATCTGTTTGGTGGAGATGTCCTTCCTTGGCTGTTGGAACGACGCAGTATGGATGCCTGTCGCATGACCCGGCTTCTGTCTTTTAGAATCGACTCTCTTAGCCCGGCTAAGTGACTCAGCCAAAGGATGGACCACTATCATCGATCGAAGCAAACACCGAGCTTCGACATTCGTAGCGTGGACCTTCCTGTAGGCGACACTCACACCATCATGTGACTGAGCACATGTTGTTATCATAAGCTCAAGCACACTCAATACGTCTGGTAGATATAGATTGGTCGAAATTTCTAGGCATGAAATTGCTATTCATCAAGCTCATGCTGAGTAGTTCAGTACCCTCATGGACCTCGTGGCTCTTAGCCAGTTGAGGGCGAGAACAGTCAGGGTCCTGATTGCTAAACATTGTCCCCCAACACTCGCCTGCACCGCTCGTATTTCAATGTTAGCGAGATTCACAATACGGAGATCATGGATCTGAGATCTGCTCGGCATCCCTCTTTGAAGAAACTCTGCCGATGCAGTATCGTTCCAACCGGAGTTGGATTCCCATTACCAACAGTGACAATCTGGGAAACAAGAACCCTGCCGGCTGCAATGTTCTCTACTAGGGCCCCAGGACTAGGTTGCATCATCGATGGAAAGGCCTTGAAACTCGGCTATTACGTGTCAAATAAACGATTTTCTACTGGAAGCTCGTGAGGCAGCAAGAGACATACAAGAGTGAACCAACGGAGATAGTGGAGACCGTGCCGTCCAAGGGGCTTTCGGGATGAGGAGAAAAGTTCCACAGTGCACAAGGACTACACAACGGCGGCGTCTCTCCGATGAAGACGTGGGGCTACGGCAGGGGTCATGTTTGCTCTTCGAGACTCCAACAACGGGTTCAAGAATCGGATAACCAGGGTAAATGTTGAGGCCCGGGTGAAATACCGCCTCCATAGATGCTGGTCAATTGGCCAGGCAGGTGGGCGAATTCGATCACACAGGTGAGAAAATGGACGGAGTGATCGTTTAGCGACACGAAGGGATAGGTCATTAGTTGGCAAGGGCACTTGGATGATCTTCATCAGATTCTACAGACAAGCTAAGATACAGGTGTTGAGGTCGCTATCAAGGCGCGCAAGTGCTCACTCGTGAGCGGCGCGTAATGTTCCAACGCAATCATCCTTCCTTGTCACAAAGATACCCTCCCGGACTTCGCCCTCAATCCCACCAAGAGCACCCGTAGTGTAGAACCCAAGTAGACGCTTGTGGCGGTCAGACAACTTAGCCTCGACATCCTTGCGCAGTGACAGGAAGTTGTTTTCCTGCTGGCGAATGAAGGACCGCATGAAGAAGATCAGAATAACCGGACGCTCGCCAGACTCCTCACGGTTGGGGCCAGTAGCATGCCACAGCCGACTGTCAAACACCAAGGCAGTGCCAGAAGGCCCTTCGGCGGCGACAGTGCCATCGACAGTGAACAGGTCATCAGGGGCAATTTGACCAAGGTGAGACGCAGGGAACACGCGGGTGCCGCCGTTCTTCTCCGTAATGTCCCCGAGATACCACATGATGTTGAGGCCGAAAGCGAGCTCACGCACAGGCGGTTGAATGGCAACTTGATCTATGTGAAGTTGCATGGGAACGTTTCCGGGGCGGGCAATGTTGGCGCTGTAACTATGGATAAGAGCATGCTCGCCGAGGAACCAGGGAACAATCTCATCGATGAGAGGGTGGTTCAGAAGATCGAGGAACTCCTCTCCCTTGTTGATCAGAGTCCAGATGCGCTGGTTTGGGGCGTTTGGGCCACCGTCCGCGGCGGAAACGCCAGCCTTGCGCTCGCCAGCAGCTTGTTCCTGGGTTCCCTTCCTCAAGATAGAAACTTGCTCAGGAGTCAGGGCGTTCTTGACGAGACCGTAGCCAAACTCTTTGATATCCCGCTTGACTTGGTCGATATCCTCTGTTGGCCGAGGAAGACGGGCAAAGGCGCCAGGAACGACCTTCTTGGGCGGTACGGGAGGGTTGGGAGTGAGGAGGTCGGCGAACTTGATGGCCACGGGGACATTGCCCTGCGGCATTGAAGCCTCGTGGAAGAAGGCGTCCTTGAACAGGCCATATCGAGGCTCGAGCTTGCCCTCGTAGAACTGAGAGATGTACTCGGGCTTGATTGTGACTTTTGTATCTGGCTTATCGGAGCAAGAGTCGAGGAATCTCGCCTCAGATGAACGAGCATCCACAAAGATTGGGGCACGATCTCCGAATGTCAAGGAGACGAGTGCGTTCAGTTGGGCGAGCAGCGGAAGCTTTTCCTTGATGATCTCATGAGCACGGCTGACGTCGGCCTCAACCTTTTCGCTGAGCTTGCTGTAAGACTGGTTGCTGAAGTCCAACCCAGGGGTGAAGGTCTTTCCAGGTGCGATACCAGCCATCGTGAGGAGGTGAGGAGGGAGGAGGGAGATTGAAGATTGCTTCAAGGGATGTAGCCAAGTAAATCTAGAAGAGAACTGGGAGCGTTGCGGTTTGAAGAGATACGAAAGCAGTACTTCCCCTTCATTATGTACGCCAGCTTACGGCGAGCTGCCGGCACCTACGACTGTCAACAAGATGATCAAAGGGGTTTCCCAAGTCGGCGCCTGTGCCGCCAGGTGGATAATTCTTATTGAACAGCATCTTCGGGGAAGAGCTGCAACGAAACCCTGCAGTGAGACGATCCGTAAGCTCCAGTACCTGGTGGAGTCGTTCGAGTGAGGGGTCCTTGACTATTCCCTGTCTCTTGTTGGTTGTCGCAAACTAAACCTGACCCTAGTCTGAAGAGTTCTGCATGCGACGTCGAGGCTGTGGAACCATCGAAAGGGACATCCCCATGGATATTATATCCTTGGTCAAAGGAGGTGTTTGCTGCCATTTAGCCGCTTGAGCGGTTGATAAGATCCGAGGTACCGCGGGAGATTATGGAAGCATTTTTCTTGATGGGGATGGATGGCGAAGCTTGATTGGCAAGTTATGCTAATGCAAGGTCGCGGTATTGGCTTGTTTCTCAATGTACAAATTTGTACCGTTTATGACAGGATGATGAGGCGCCGTAGAAGAGCATCGAAAGTGGTGCAACACACACGGAGTAGCCAAATGAATCCCGTGACCTGAACGTGATTGGCATTGATCACAGATCTCCTCCACCTCCTCGAGCTAGTGAAAATCATTTCTATACTGTCTTTCATAACCATCACAACCCATTACCGTCCCGAGTAGTGCTTCTCGGCGTAACGCAGAGGCACATACAAGACAGCGCTCAAGAAGAACGCAATCTCGAAGCCAATGTCTCCTGTCGAGACCGCGATGGGACCCGTAAACCAGACCTGGGCAATACAAGGAACGACGAGACCAAAGCTCAACACAGCTGCGCCGATAGCAGCAATACCCAGGGGCAGCTTGGAGGGCACGTCCCACACCGCAACCTCATAGAGCTTGGAGTCACCGCGCCTAAAGACAAAGTGCTCGGTGACCACGATTCCGACGAAGGACGCAGACCAGTAGCCGATGAGGGCAATGAAGTTCTCGAGACTCAAAAAGAAGTCGTGTGCTGCCTTGACCGCGATCGGAATGATAATGGCGGTCACGATAACGGAGAAAATGTACCGCGGCAGGCGGAACGACGGGATGAGGGTCTGGAAGTTCAGCGTAATTGCATACATGGTGCCGGAAATGTTTGCCAACAGCGTGAATGCAAGGACGACAAGAATGAATTTGCCGAATCCGCCGGCTGGGGAGAGCATGGCTCCGAGAACGCCGCCGACCAAGGTGCTATCGAAGCCGATTTGCCACTCGGGGATGTTGCTCATAGCACCACCGATAGCCGCGCCGAGAGTCATAAGCAATATTGTGGGCACAACCAACCCCAAGTAGCTGTAGGCAAAGATGCGGTGTCTAATGAAAAGTCAGTCTTGAGATCATCTCTGTGAGCGCATTTACTTACGAGACCGTCCGGCCAGTAGGGTCAAAGTATGTTGTCAGGTCAGATGCGATGCAGGCCCATGGGATCATGTACGAAGCGATGACACCACCGAAGCTAAGGACTCCCGCAGCCGTTGCCGGCTCAAAGGGGGCTTGCTTTTGCAACTGCTGTCCGCCACATCCAACCGCGATGATAATGGCTACGAGAGCTGGCATCCATGCGTACCCCTCATAGAAGTGCAGCACGTTGAAGCCACAGAAAGAGATCAGCAGAGCCGCGATGCCGATCAAGACGATGCCAACGGAAGTCGAAAGGTCGCCTTCGGACACTGCTGAAAGGCACTGCCCACCAACGACACAAATGATGACACAGAAGCCGGTAAGAGTAGCGAGGTTGAGCACGACAGGGATGTATACGAAGTAGTATCTAGGAAGGCGTCAGTTGAGACGCTTGAGTTGGCCACGGGCAACCCGAGATCATGAGGTAGGTCCGCCCTTTCGACCGGGGCATTATCAACTTACCCAAAACTAAACCGAGCTTGAATCATCTGTCGCATGCCAGTCTTCGGGCCCAACGTCGACAAGAATGCTGGTGCCAGCGTTGACAGCAAATTGAAGAAGAGAATGACGAGCGCCGAATCTCGGAGGCCAAGGCCGAAAGAGACCGGGCCCAGCATGCCGAACGTGATACTGAGTGGCAAACGTCAGCCTGTGTGCACGAGGACCATATGAAATCTGAAGAGCCAGAAAACTTACGCCAAAATGTTCGTGTTGATAGAGCACCAGATCGTGAAAGCATTGAAGTACTTGGTGTTCGTCCGGACTTCTCTTGGGATAGGCTCGATGCCGCCTTCTTCGACCCGCCCAGCCATCAACACTCTCCGCACCAGACCTTTGCTGCTCCGGCCTGTAGCCGAAGCTGCTTGTGCATCTGCACCAAGGTTCTCTGTCGTTGCGTGCTTTTCATCGCCGCGCCGGTCACGCTGGCTCTCCAAGTTGTCTGCCATTTTGATGTCTTTGCCGGAGGTTGCAAAGCTACGACTCAATGTCAGACTGAGGCAAACAGAGGGTGCACCAAACAGTCATGTAAATGTTTCGACTGAGGATGACTCGATGCCGATAAGTAAGGTAAGATAATGAAAATTTGTTGCGGAAGTCCGTGCGTTGCGTACAAATTACGCCCAAATTCGCCTTAGTTGGCGAATTATTGACTAATGAAGTCTCCATAAGCCCATTGTTTTGGCCGGATTTGGCTTACTGGATTGGATGCTTCTTTGATCCTGACAAGGGATCGATTCCCGGCCCGGTCAAGCGGGATGTTGACCGGATCGGCTTTTGTGACATGTGCACGTCTGGCTGAACCAAGATGGAATCTACCTATCCGGATCAACTTCTATAATTGTTCAGCTTACTATGTGACTTATTACTGGAACTCCTGGTTGGCATGGAACAAATACATATAGGGTCAACCTGAGACAGTTGCACCGTTATTACATGTGAATTTTTGGCCCTGGTCCCTCATCGAGTCCATAAGAGCTGATACGATGTCATTCTCTCACTCCTGAATCTGCACGCAGCTAGATTTTCAACTACACACATTTCCAGCTATCCGGGAGTTTTGGATCCATACCCTCACCCCGGTAGGTATTTCGCAACGGGTATCTGCAATGTCGCCGTTGGAAGTCCACACCCGAACCAACACTGTCATTGACAAACTTGGTTCCTGTTATGGTGTCCGGGGCGATTCCACTCTCAGCCCAGTCTACTATGGCGGCCAGGACATTGTATGTCCTATTGAATGGGAGACTATCGCTGATGACGGCCGAGTTTCCACCGCTGCTTCCTTGGCCAATCAACCAGGCACCGGGTCCTGTCGTGCAATGGTACAGGCCCGAAACACGGAAGAACCGTGTGAAGTGATCCATTCCAGTGTGGTTCAGATGCATGCCTTTTGCCAAGCGGTCATAGAAAATGGGAGTGTGAAAGCTCGTAATCTGCTGATCCTGTTGGCCGTGGTACATCAACAACTTTCCTCCCCTCCTCTTGAATGCCGACAAGTCCCGTGGGTACGTCTTGATGTTGCCAGGGTTCCGCTTTTGAGCAAAGATGCCGTCCTTTTCGAGTGTGTAAGTAGCCGGGTCCCAATTCGGGTCATTGTAAATCGCATAGCGGAACCAATTCTGGGATAGAGCAAACGGGCTTCCACTGTACAGCCCGTCTGCGGTGATGATTTCGCTGCCGGGATTCATGGCTGGCCAGAAAAGCTTGCCGTCCGTGTAGTTGGTTGGGCTGAAGATCTTTCTCACGATCTCGACTTGTGCGCCAGTGAGGCATTTGGAGTCGCTGCTGTCTGGCTTGCACAGGAGAGTTCCAGGTTCGAAGTGACAGAGGGTGGGGTCCTCTATGATGCCGTCTTGAACGCCATCGATAGTGTCGCACTGCTTAAGCACTTCATCATGGATTGTCGTCTTCCAGGTGGCGGGAGCAATGAAATCCTTGGAGTCAACAGAACCAGTCAGAGGGTAGAAGCTGGCTCGCCAGGAGTAGAGGTTGTTGAAGTCCACTGCCGGTGCACCTGCGACGATACCATCGAAGTCTTCGGGAAACATGTCCGCGGCTTGTACGCCTTGCCGTCCTCCAAGAGAGCAACCTAAGAAGTATGACCCCGTCATCTTCTCCTTGTAGAGAGACTTGAGAAGACTCTTCCCAGCGAGAACGCCCGTGTGAATCCTGGTAGGCATGTCAGTCGGTTTGTAGATTGGAAAGTCGAAGCTGGGATAACTCACGCTCTGTACGAAAAGTCAATGACAACATCATCATTGTTGAGGAACTGTGCACCGGTCGTTCCAGCATGCCCGTTATTCGTGCCAACAGCAACAAAGCCATGAGCAGTAGCATACGCAAGGTCCTCAGTGTGAACGCCTATCGCATTTCTCATTGTTAGTACGTGCTCAGCTTAAACGCCACTACTCCATGTCAGTGTCCCAGACTCAGCTACTTACACCCATCGAGCCCTCCACCAGCGACCGTTACCATGCGCCCATTCCATTTCTCGGGTAGCCACACTTCAGCGACAATCTGTGATCTACTAGAAGTTGTGATATTCATGGCGACACGACACAGATTAGTGCGGACCACCTGGCTTCCGCGACCGCATGATGGATCTTGTTCTGGAAAAGTGAGGTTGGCGCCGGTCTCCACATAACTGATCTCCTGAGCAGTCGAGTTGACCACTGTAGTCTGAGGAGTAAGAGCCAGGCAGTCACTCTGAAAAGTCGCTTCCGAAGGCATAGCCAACGCCAGCAAAACGGCAAGGACTAGAGAAACTGCCGCGAACATCTTTAACAAAGCGAATCCCGACAGGCTGGGTATCTGTCCCGGAGCCATCAATGGGCTCCCGATCTCATCTTATGTTTCTGGTTGGGGGGGCACGGCAGACAGGGAAACCAAACAGACTGTTACCCCGCATACATGTAGTGATAAATATCGCCCCCGGCCCTCTCTAGTCCACATGTAGCTTACACGACCCCGGTGATACAAGGATCAGCCAGGGCTTTGACTGTGATGTAACAACAATAAGATTAGCGCTTGGCTAGCTTGGATACCTTACTTTGCGGGAAGGATGAATCCGAAGCTCTATACTGAAATGATTTTGCTCTCGAATCTCCGATAGCAGATTCCGTTGAAAATGTGCAGACTGCAAAAGCAGCGTGGTCTGATGTATTTGATGTCTGCTTTAGAAGTTTTGGCCGATATGATTGTCAAGTCACGTTGCTATTCGACTGGTCGATAACAGCAAACACCCCAAGTCACAATTCGTCAAGGACCATTGCCGGTGATCTCTCCGCAGTCCCTGATGAGTGGAGTCCGATCCTGCCGTTCTTGCCGGCCCCGCCCCGACAACCAGGCTCGGCAACTGGTATTCGGTCATAGATATTCCGGCCTATCAAAATGCCGAGTGGTCTTAAATCAAGATGGCGCTTGAGGTAGGCAAGTGATGGAATTTGGATTCGGAAATCCTACGGCGCGTTCCTCAGTCACCAAAAGCCCCATTCGCCTCGTTCCGTACACCCTCCAGGTTTCGGTACCTCTGTGGCCGGTCTTCTTATGGGCTTGGTCCTGATGGGAAGATTGCTGCGACCAGATGTCTAGCAGTGGATCATAAATCTACCTCATAGCACAGCTGCGACTTGTCCGTGCTGATTGGCAGCCCCAAGCAACTTTTCGACAGCTTTATCTATCTCGTAATGGTACATCCAAGTACTCTTACTCTCAGCTGCCCTTCGCACTCGCTCTTCAATCTCCTCATTGACAGGAAGATTCTCCGAAAGCAGTGTAGTGTTCATCGCACCAAAATCATCAAGAACCTTGTACAAGTCGCGATAATGGGGTGACCTGATCTGATCATACAACTCTAGAGCTGCAGACAAGTCCCCACCGTTGTTCCAGTGCCAGTCAACGCTTTGCGTCAAGGCATAGACATCCTCCAAAGCAAATCCGGCTCCAGCGCCAAAGGCGCCCGATAGAGGGTGAGATGCGTCTCCAATCAAGGCAATAGCCTCCTCGTGGACGACGCTTTTCAGTCGCGGCCCCGAGAAAAGTGCAAATTCCTGCGTCTCGCCCTGAGCAGCAAGTTGGATGACTTTGCGGACAGGCTCGCAAAATTCGTCGTACTCTGAGGCGATGGTGGAAAAGTCAAAAGGCCGACCCCAGCTCACGTGTTCCTGACCTTCAATCGGCCGGCGGATGCGTGCAGTGACCTCGAAGTCATCTCCGCCAAGAGGACACGTAAACACGTACTTTCCAGCAGTGTTCTGCCAGAATACGGGAGACTTTGGGATACCCTCGATCTTCTCGGCTGTAGGCTTGTGAATGATGGTCCGATAGGCAGATTGGCCATTGTACTTAATCTTGTGCTCAGGAAAAGCGTAGGATCTCACAAACTTCGTGTTATTAGTTTCTGTTGTCTCTTCAGTGGTATCGTGACGGGGTTGAGCCTTACCGAACGAATGCCATCTGCTCCAACTAGTAGGTCAACTTCATCGCTGAAGCCATCTTCAAAACGGATTGCAATTCTACCAGTCGACAACTTCGTGATATCGATGAGCTTTTTAGAAGTTTTGATACGACTTTGGTCAACTTCTTTGAGCAAAGCAGCCTGCAATTTGGCTCGAACCATGCGGCAGCTTACTTGCTGCGGCGGAGTATCTTTGGGATGATGGTGTTGTTCCAGAAGCTTTCCGGTTCTTCCGTTCCTGTGGGGGAGAGTCGGTATTAGTAAGTCTCATGATCTTCCCTATTTACAACACAAAATTTCGCATACCTTGACTGTCCGCTGGTTCCATCAGGAGATCTGAAGAAATCCAAAGGATCAATGTTTCTGGCTGCCCCGTTCAACTCCAAGAGCCTCCAGGTATGTCTTTGTAGGCTAATACCGCCGCCAGTTTCACTGATTTGCGACTTCTTTTCGTAAAGAGACCAGTCAACATAGTTCAACTTTCCGAACTCAATCGCGGCACCCAACCCTCCGGGCCCGCCACCAATGATGGCAACTTTCAGAGGACTTGGCCCGCTATGATTCTTGACAGCCATCGTGATAATGAATTGGTGGGAGCGTATGTTGACAAAGGAGCCGATCGGTTGTGTTGATGAATGATTTCGTTACTAGATGACTTGGCAATCTTCCATCGGAAGCTCTGAGATAGCGATATGGATTGCGCGGCATTTTATGGTTCTGAGTCAAGGCATGCATCGCCCAATGGTTGGAGTTCATCAGGTCATCTTGATGTATTGCGCCATCCAAGGAACAGATTGGCAATCCCGGCCCGCGCCGATAACGAACACCACACCCGCGCGCAAGTTACTAATTGATACAAGTGGATCACCTTCACACAAACAACAAGATGCATGAGTGAACATAGCCCTATCTGTTGTTCAAGTGAGCCAAGATTCGATTCCAAGTTGCATTCAAGAGTGTCTTGGCAAAGGCTTGTTGATTTCTTGAAGCATCGCGCAATTTCATCTCTAGTAGGATTACTTAGTTAAAGTCCAGGACAAGAAAAGCTCCTGGCGATCAGACAAACCGTGCACTATGATTAACTCGAATGAATACAATTCTTCCTTAATCGACGCTTAGGTCATCAACTCATCAAGGAAGTGATTTAGTTATTGACAACCTCGGGTGAGCCTGAAAACAGAGCCTTCATCGGCGATCTCGATAAAAAGTCAATTCTTATCCTTACACAAAGTTCAAGTGCCCCATGATATAGGTAGGGAAACACACAATCTAGTTGTCTGTGTTCCTAGTTGAGAGAAGAGACCAAGTATAACACTCTTCTAGTTGCAAATGCTCCTTCAGGCGATCTGCCGAAAATGAGGATATAGGCCCAGCTAGCCTCACAGAATGAGCATTGAAGAGACAACGAACAAAAGAGTAAGAGACTACCAGGACATTGAACAAATATGTAAGCGTCAGTGGGGTATTGTATATCCTGGGTACGCCAGGTGCGTACTTAGTAACTACCAGACTCCATTCCCCTCGAATCACAATGCTTCCACGTCAGCAAAAAGCTTAGTACTGCTTGCTGCGCAATAATTGGGATAATCCAGCTACCCTCAAATACAAATCTTTGTTGCTTGCTATCTATTCTACGGTTGAGTTTAAGAAAACACCCCTCACTCCTCGTCTTGAGGATACACAGTCCCACCCTGTCGTCGGATTTCGTCCATCATCTCCATGACACGGATAGTCTCTGCCCAAGGCATCACGTCACTCTCCAACTTCCCGGCCAGCACATCCAACGCAGCGTTGTCGGCTTCCCAGTAATACCCTCGTCCGACTGGCTTGTATTCAAATGTCTTGATCGCGTTCCTTCCGATGATGCCCTTGACCTGGTCTCTCTCAAATGTGGAGTACAAAGTGAAAGAGTCTGGGTCAGATGGGACGGTGCCATGTACCTCAATCGTGCCTTTGGTTCCTTGAATGCGTGCCAATACATCTGGGTTTCCAGTTGCCATTGTCGTTGAAGTGACAACACCCTGTCTACCCGTAGAGGGATAGTGGAGGATGACACTAGTAGTCACCTCGACAGAACCATCGTGCGACTGTTGGGCTTCTCAGAAGATCCAGGAGTTCCTGCGTCCAAGCCTAGGATAGCCCACGTCAGAGTGTAGATCCCCAAATCCAATAGCGACCCTGCACCAAGGTGAGGTTGCTTATAACGCGAGCTGTCTGGGAGGTTCGGGATGTCTAGCCCGAGACCGAACTCAGAGTAGACGCGGAAAACTTCGCCAATGACCTTGTCTTTGTGAAGCATGCGTTGCAGATCTTGGACCAGAGGTCGGTGGCGGAGCCACATGGCTTCAGCAACGTAGACTCCCTTTGCCTTGGCACGCGCAAAGACCTCCTTGGCCTCACGAGTGTTTATCGTGAAGGCCTTCTCGCAAAGAATGGGTTTGCCTGCTTCGATGGCATCCAGGCAGTTTTGCTTGTGGAAAGCGTGCGGGGTGCCAATGTAGACGATATCCACATTGGGGTCGGTATAAACTTCCCCGTACGATCCATAAATAGCCGGTTGACTATTCGGGCAATATTGCTTCGAGAAGTCTTGCCCTTTCTGGACGGATGAACTCCCAATTGCTTGGACAATGTGCTTGACTTTTGCATCTGATCGTGAGACCAAGAGGTCTTCGACGAACCAGGAGGAGATCATCCCGGTAGCTGTACTAGTCAGTCAGTAGTGTGCTTTTCCCCGAATTCAGCATGCGGGGAATGCTTTACCAACGATGCCCCAGCGAATCGCTGGTAATTCCGACATTTTTAAGGTGTGTGTAGCTGAACTGGAAACTTGAATGGCTGAATTGGGTGGTAGTGGGTATGAGAAGAGGCGTACAGGGACAACACTCGATCGCGAGCCGCTGTATCCAAAGTTCCAAACGGAATTGCAAGCCCGAGGATTTTCTTTCACCTTTTATACACACGTTCTCACTGTGAACACTCGATGACATCGGTGTTCGGGATTCACCTGTGACGTCGCGTCAGCCATTATTGAGCGTCATATTACCAATACGGTGTAAAATCGCCGGGGTTGCCCTCATTCGCTAGAAGCAGTAATAATCTTCCGCTCTCCAAATTCACAAGTATAACCTCTCGTAACATCGCCAGCAAAAGTCACAACACGATCATTACGACCAAAAGCGAGCTAATCCGTCTGTTCACAGCGACATCCCCAACATTTTGTTCATGAAATTAAATTCTGATCACTCTATTGTATCTCGAAGAATTTGACAACATGACCTCTTCACCCAAGATCCTCAATGTGGGTGTTGTTGGCATCGGACGTATGGGTCAGAAGCATGCCCTCAATATTCTGAACCTAGTTCCGCGAGCCAAACTTCTATGTGCCTGCTCTCCTGCTCAAGCTGATCTCGACTGGGCCAAACAGCATCTTCAGCCGCATGGTGTCAAGACTTATCCCACTTTCGAAGAGATGATGGAAACGCCAGGGCTTGAGGCTGTCATCATCTCCTCTATTACCGAGCTACATTTCTCACAGACACTGGCTGCGTTCGATAAGGGGATTCATGTTCTATGCGAGAAACCTATATGCAAGTCTATCTCAGAGGTACCTTACGTTGTCATTATTGTCTCCTTCTCCATTTGTGCTAACGCTTTCTCATCTAGCTTGAGACCCTCTGCGAGCATGTGGAAGCAAAGCCAGAGACTAAAGCCATGGTCGCGTTCGCCCGCCGTTTTGACGACAGCTACCAGGATGCGCACGACAAAGTCAAATCAGGTGCCATTGGCAAGCCGTTCGTTTTCAGATCTCATGGCTGTGAGAAGCTTGACCAGAGTCCGTTCTTTCATCAGTACCTCAGGGACTCTGGTGGCATCTACTTTGACTGCGCCATTCACGAAATTGACCTGTCACTGATGTTCTTGGGCGAGGGTTCCGTCCCCAAATCTGTCTCTGCCATTGGAACAACCTCCTTCTTCCCAGATCTTGAAAAGACTGGCGATGCGGACAACGCGATCGGGGTGTGCGAGTTCTGGGACGGAAAGATGGCTCACTTCTACCACTCGAGAAGCTCATCGCACGGTTATGACAGCGTCACTGAGATATTCGGTACGACAGGCAAATTGACAGTCAATGCTGTGCCGCGAAAGAATCGAGTAGAGATTTGCGATACTGATGGCTATGTCAAGATTGAACCGACGAACTCTTGGTACGATAGATTCATCTCGGCATTCGTTGTGGAAGCGAATGCGTTCGTTGATGCAATTTTGGACGACAAGCCACTGCCAATCCCACTCAGATCGGCTCTTACGTCACTGAGGATCGCCTCAGGCCTACAGGAAAGCTTGAGGACTGGTCAGAAGCTCTTCTTTGACCGACAAGGTCAGTTGACGGGCCCGAATGCAAGTGCCCAGCTGTAGAGCGACACCTATTACTAAATCAACGCCTAAATCCATCCGGTAACTGGCAACTGATGACAATAAAACTTCTGAAAGCCCTCAAACGAGATCCTTTCTCCAAATTCATGTGCCCACATCACAATACTACTTTCTTAAATCATACGGCAGGTTGTGATAGTCTCGATGCCGTAAGCCCTCATACATCCTTAATATTAAATCCTCCCGGCACGCTGTACTGAAAGAACTGTCCGGGATCGTACTTCTCCGCAACTCTTTTCAGGAACCGAAAGTTTTCTTCACCATACGTCGCCAATGGTTTCTGATCTTGACCCGCGTAGTTGAGATATAGGTAGGGGATCAGTTGGCCAGTAGCTCTAGCATAAGCCTCAATGTCTGCAGTCGCTTCTTTCAGCCTCTGTCTCAATAGCCCAACATATTTCATGTTAGGGAAAATTCCTTGGATGCTGAAAACAATAGAGTTCTTCTTGTGGATTTCGTCAAGACCAATAACATCTTCGCCGTAGTTTGAGAACAGGGTCGGAAACGGCGTTAGGGGGTAGACGATTCTGAAGTCGTCGCCATCCTGGACCTGGTCCTGAATATCTTCAATAACGGCGTCGAATGTTGATAGAATCTTGCGGCTCATGCCAAGTGTATTGTGAAAAGTCAGAGTGCCTCAAACCTGGTACTCGCCACTCGGCGATGTGATTTGGGCAGCAGTGCTGGTCACTGGGAGGTTTGCCCGCACGTCGACCACGGGAGACAGAACTTCAAGTCCCGCGAAAGCCGTTGAGTTGGATTGCCCCTCAATGTCAGCAACAACGAAAGACATTCTTTTCCCACCACTTAGACTCCACGCAGCAGCTGCGAACCCAGTATCTTCGGGGTGCCCGTTGGTGTTGCCGTCAATCATCTGCCGTCAATCATCTCCACAAACTTCTGAACGATGACATTCTTCTGTGCCCAAGGGAATACCATGACCCCGCCATAGGGGTTGCGTGAGGGAAAGGTTTTGAGCACGAATTTGGCGACCAGGCCAAAGTTACATGCTCCGCCCTTAAGAGCTTTGAACAAGTCAGAGTTCACGTGTTCACTAGCTCTAATAACATTGCCGCTGGCTAAAACGACCTGAACAACATTTGGTAAGCGTCTACTACGCGTACTGCCCAAAGCAGGGGTGAGATATTTGGTTCTACCTCATACTCGGCCACATTATCTGCAGCGAAACCAACTTCGCCAGAAAACCAAGAAAAGCCTGTAATGAACCAATTAGGATCGCATACTGGTAGATTCGGAGTCTTATGACTTACCACCCCCCAGAAGAAGGCCGCTTACGCCAACTGTGTTCTCACGACCTCCCAGACTGATGAGCAGCGCCAACACGCAGTTGACATCTTTGAGTCCCATGTTCTGATATTCTATCTGGAGCGAACCTAGGGTCCTATCGGCGTGTTTGAATCCGTTAATTACGATGTGATATGTTTTCTGCATGGGAAGCTTGGTTTATGTACATGAAACCCAACGCTTCTCAGCCCGGGTTCGTGTCGGCCAAGTACAGCCTGCATATGCCCGCAGCAAACATCTCAATTTTCTGCAAATCAAGGTCTCTTCAGTCGATCAGGTGACCGGGCAAGGGGCTTCCATGTTACTACGCCACCGAGCAGCAAATGGTTCAGGATCACCAGTGCCGCAAATTTGGGTAAGCGAGAGATATAGACAGGAATTCACTCTCTTCCGCAAGGAAAATTGAAAGCCTTCGCCTCAGTCTGCATGTAGGTTTTGAGAGAATTCCAATTTGGGCAACTTCCTCAACCCACGCAACTGCCTTGGCTCATGGATATTTTATTGACGATTTTAGACGACTTTCTGTTCAACAGCGATACCCAAAGTCCAACGGGGTGAAATAGGCAAGGTGTTGGAGGTCATTTGCCCGTGAAGAGCATGGAATCAATCAATAACTCGAGGTTTTCCGTCATCCTCGAGCTATTCAGGTGTAGCGTTGCATGATGACCGAGAAGCGTTCTACTTCTAGGAAGGTCTCAATGGGCTTTTAGAGCCGACTAGGGTTTTACATGGGTATGCCTTATAACAAAGCTTTGGGAGAGATGCTGAGAGGAATACAATCGAGATGAACGACCGCCAACCGGGCTGTCGGGCAGCAGACAATAGAGGTTGTAAGAGCGGAAAATCGCACCCATCGGGGACGCAACTCCACTAATGTCCGCGAGTCATAGTAAATGGGCAGTATAAAGCGATTGAAGATCAAAAGCCGACTCTACGGGGACACCTATCGGAAGGTGGCTCAAGCTGTTGAGGAGAGACAGAGTCATTCCCGGACATCGGTCTTCGAGTAGCACCGATCTTCGCCATCCATTTATCCTTACGCGCTGATGCGTTTAAGAACATATTTTCCAACGTCAACACTAAGGGGCTACTATGATTCTAAGAAGGCGCGTATCGTGGAGAAGGCGATATACGCACATTCCTACCTGACTGAGGTGGTAAACCCCGAGGGCGCACCATTTGGATGGGTTAGCTTTCCTAACTTGACAAAACGACCGAGCGGATTAATTCTAAGTTTAGGGCTTCTGTATGACGCCCCTGCCGACATCCGCTCCTGGAGCCTGACCCCTAAGCATTAGGTGTTCGTCTAGTGTAACGACTAGGAGTCGTACGATCTACCGCCGGTGAATCGCGAGCTGACTCAGCGGCCCTGTATAACGACGAAACGCGAGCATACGTCTACTACGAAATCAAAAGGCTAGTCGGCAATCCATACGAAAACTACGGAGAGTTTTGAACAGGTCACGGAAGGACAACAGCCCCGAATACCGACTTTATCTCTAATCCAATTACTCGCATACCACAGCTAACTGGGCCAGTAGCGAGTAAGTAGCCTTACTTCTAGCTCTACAGACGCGGGATAATTCAGACTACGTGGGGTTAGATGTAACACGATCTTATCGAGGGGCTAGGTTAAATCTGTTTCCTCCTATTCTTTACCATCGACATTCGGCCTAATTGAAATTTCGTTAATGTCCGAAACTTCATGTCTCAAGGCGCGGACTTTTCGACCGCCGTTCTGCTAAGACAGGGTGACGATTCAATCACCTCAAGATGAACTACTTTTAGCATGAACAGAGACTGCTCCTTCATCTCTGCATCAACGCACAGTTCTCTGGTTCTTTCGACTCGATTGAAGTCATAGGCATAGCACCTATTGGCCGCGAAAACCTGGTTCATCCGACAAAAAGAGCATTCCCTAGCATCATGGAACGTCTTTCTGATACAGGCATCTCGATTTTGGTTGTCGGCGCCGGAATCGCTGGTCTGGCTTTCGCCATCGAGTCTCATCGCCAGGGACATAGCGTCAAGGTTCTGGAGAAGCGCATAGATCCGGGAGACTATGGTAAGCATTACCTATTCGCTCACTTTTCGGAGACAATATTCTGACCAAACACCTACTTTGATCCGCAGGTGAAATCTTCTTCATCCAGTCTCCCGGACTGCACACACCCTCGAAATGGCCCGGGTTCATGGAGAGGCTAAACAAGAGCGCCATCTCGGCCGAGTTCCAATTCTTCAAATTCAGTGGCGAGAAGTTGTTCGGAACCAAGCTCGGAAACCCCCATCTCCCCACGATCTCCGTCAGCCGACGCGAGTTTTACCTCCTCCTCCTGACTTACGCCACCGAACTTGGCATCCCCATCGAAACAGGCAAAGAGGTTGAGGATTTCTTCGAGACCAAGGAGCTCGGTGGCGTGGTCCTCGCCGACGAGAGCAAACTTACCGCCGACATCGTCGTGGCAGCAGACGGCGTAGGATCCAAGTCCTGGGGCATCGTGACCGGCACCAAGGAGAAGCCCATCAGCTCCGGCTTTGCCCTGTACCGAGCTAGCTACCGAGCCGAAGAGGCGCTTAAAATACCTGCTATTGCAGAGTTCTTCAAGGATAAGCGGGAGTGGACGTCCCTCCACATTGGTCCCGGCGCACACTTCTTCACCGGCTTGTCGCCGACCGAGTTCTGCTGGGGCCTGACGCACAGAGACGAAGACGCTGCCGTGGAAGACTGGAACCGTATCGCCGACTCGACTGGCGCGTTCAAGTACGTCGAGGGATGGGCGCCTATCGTGCACGAGGTCATCAAGTCGACACCCAATAACCAGGCTACCGACTGGAAGCTGCGTTTCCGTGATCCCCAGCCGAAGTGGGTGTCGGACGGAGGGCGAGTGGTGCAATGCGGCGACTCGGCGCACTCGTTCCTGCCTTCTTCTGGGTTCGGCGCTACTACTGCTCTGGAAGATGCCTTTTCTCTTGCTGCTTGTCTCAAGATGGGCGGCAAGGTGTCTGCTGCTTTGGCAACCAAGGTGCACAACAAACTCCGGTAAGCTGTCTTCTTCCTCACGCCATACATCAATAACCTTGGAATATGTGGCCATTTTACTGATTATGAGACGGCTGTATCTAGTTTCGAGAGAACCGCTTGCGCCCAGAAGATTGGTTTCAAGTCTAGAGAGGTCTTCCATCACACCAACTGGGATGAAGCTGCGAAGAACCCCCGCAGCATCGCGAAGTTTACAGGATCGTGGCTGTTGAAGCATGATCCCGAACAATATGCGTACGACAACTACGAAGCTTGCGCAGCGCATCTACTCCATGGGAAGGAGTTCAAGAATACCAACACAGTGCCCGGGTTTCCCTTCAAGCTATGGACGGTTCAGGAGTTGCTGCACAAGTCTGACATGGGGGAGTCGATTGACGATGATGAGGGAGACTGGTACTCTTGAATCGGGGTTAGAACTGTAGCATCGAGGCGCTCCATTGTTGTAGATGAATCGTAACTCCAGTAGATTCAGCAAGTGGCCGTTCGGATCACTATCTGTCCTGATTATACATGTTAGCTTTAGTATCTCTGATGCTGCATGTTACACCTAGTCGGCATTCTGTCTCCGCCCAGAGGGAGTTCTGTTGTGAATCCAGGGTAGTGTATTTTTTCAATGACCTTAGATAGCTTTGTATTGAGTTCCGCTATTTTAATACAGTATTTCCGGTCTTCAAGGGCCAGTAAGTACCGAAGGACAACATTCGATCGCTAAATATTAGATAGATGGTGGTCTGGTCATAATGATCCTAAGACCGCAATACCTAGAAAGGCAGCTCCGTATTCGGTATAAGAAAATGCGCATTCCCTATTCGGGCTCACACTACTCCGTGCATCCAAATCGAAAAAATACGTCCCAAAAAAGTCACAGAAAATAGGTACCCTGCATCATGTACCAAATCCTCAAAAACCAGGCGATCAACACCGAGCACACCACCACAAAACCCTTTCTTCACCGCCAGAATGTGTCACCACTTGGCTCGGGGAGCTTCGCCTTTCCCACGCCGCAATGACTCCCTACGGGAACGGAACGAAGGACACAAGTCAAAAACCAATCTTTAGTCTCTGGTTGGTGGACAGGTGAATGACCCCACTCCCCTACCAAGCCCGTAGGAACAGAGATGGTGGCACGGAGTACGTAGGTGGGTGGGGTAATTGGCAGGTAGGCGAAATGGCCTCAGTCTCCGAAAGTGCAACTTTTTCAACTTTGTGACGGGTTTCGCGAGATTCTGCTCATCGTAGACGAATTCATATCCCATAGAAGCATGGAAAGCGAAGCAAGAGACAAAGAGCAGCGATCTGGTCATAAACAAGTGTAAACACATGATTAACCCCGCCATCGGCCATTACCCCGCCGGCAGACACTTGACCGAAATACACCGACATCGGCGCCTTCGGTGACAAGGTGTGCAAATGTCACTCGGTGACTGGTTCCCACACCAAAACACCCCAGCGACCCGTCCCGCCGTCTCCAAGAACCCCCCCAGCCAACAGGGATGACCCGTGAACTCCTGCTTCTTCCCCCCTCCCCCCCCGAAAGCCCGTGCCGACCGGGCGGGACTGCCTGGCGTTGCCTGTTCTAGTCCCCGCAGGCGCGACCGCAATCCGTAGGGTCTTCCTGTCATTCTTCTTCCGCAAGGGATCCGTTGGTCTTGGCGATGCTGTACATCTGCTTGAGAAGCTGTCAAACGAGTCGTGACTGCAATCGCGTCCTCTCGGTCCAGGCAGAAATTACCCCGCGGTGCGAAGATTTGCGCGACGTCCCACCCCGCTGTGAGAAGGAAAGGAAGAGTCCTTGCGGTGACACCCCAATTTCCAGAGTTCCGTACTGGCAATGCGCATATTCGCATTGCGCGGCAAGCATCATGCAACCAAAAAATGTCAACCTCAAATTTGGGGAATCCATTGTAAATGCAGAGCCCACTAACAATCTATCAGTCCCTTTCCCGTGTAAGTGGGTGGGTGTCTTGACCCAGGCCATCGCAACCTCCCGCCACAGACACCCATCCACCTCTTCTCATCGTCCACGCATGTCTCCAACAACAATGTTTTGAGGTGAACGAACAGGAAAACGCCACGGATAAGGGTAGCTTGCAGATGTCTCGTCTCGTAATCTCTCTCCGAAAAGGGTGGGATGGGAGGAAAGCAAAACACGGCAGTGTCGCCTACTCAATGTTGCCGAGTCCTCCAAGATCCAAGGAGGGACCAGGGCAGGAGTGAGACATGCAGGCGCATGCGATCACAAGGCCGCGACGGCGATTGTCCATCACGAGAAAATGTACCGCAAAGATACTGCATCACCAAAAAAGATCACAGCCGCCAAGAAAGGAGCAGAGATATGAATCATAACTGTGTTTTACTGATTCAATGACTATCTAATGGTTGTCCCAATGTGTCCTGTTGTGGTGGTATCTTCCCATCGCTCTCCCGGCGATCCCTTCCCCGTGGTATATGTACATGCATGCAAATCAAGAAACGCTGGCTATCTATACAATTCCAAGAAAACGATCAAGCGCAGAGCTCGCATATCGATAATGGATAAACAAACAACATGAAGCAGGAAATCCATTCATCCTAGCAGTCGTTTACTCCCATCGCCAGAGACCATCGTCGTAGAGAACGCGGTGCCTCCGTGTACCCGGCCCCACGGTAGCCCGGCGGTGGGGTGTCATCCGCTCCATGAGTCGGCGGCGCTGGGCTTCTTCCTCATCCTCAGCTCTTGCCGTGAGATGGTCGACAACTTCCATACGGCGAAGAGCATCTGCCAACAAGTCCTCTTGGTATCTGGAACCGTAGCCAGTAGAGGTGCGGTTCAAAGGAGCGGGAGGGACGGGTACGGCGGTGCGGCTGGCAATTTTGGCGTTTTGCTCAGCGATGCGTAGTTGCTTCTTAACTTGGCGATCCTCCTCCTGGCGTTTGCGCTCTTCACGCTCCTTGTGATCTCGGTGACGGCGGCGGCGCTCCTCCTCGTCGGCGCTGTGGTAGCTGTGGCGCGATTCAGAAGAGTGGTGGCGGCGGTGCTTGTTGTCGATAACCTCAATCTCGACCTTGGACCGCGGGCGCTCATCGACGATGACAGGGCGAAGAGAGTCGCGGCGGACGTGGCTGTAGCGGAATTGAGGGTTCTCGCCGCCTGCAATGGGTGAAGGCGGCGCGGTGTAAGGTGAAGCGAATTGCTTTGGTGGTGTGCGCGGGGTGGTTGGAGAGTCGACAATCACGATGCGCTCGTTACGTGACCGGTGCTTGCGGTTGAGGTCCAATATCCTTTGGCCGTTCACGTATACTCCGGATTGGCGGTGCTTTCTCTCGCTCGAAGAAGATTCGCGACGAGCGCGGCCTCCTTCATTGCCCGAGGAAGTTCCGCGTGGTGAGCTCATGGGAGGAGAGGGCGGCATCTGCTGAGGAAATGGGTATGCTGGTCCGACAGGAGCATACATGGGCACTGGTGAGGGGTAGCCGACTTGACGCGGCGGGTGGTTGTAGATGACAGGGTTGGCGCAAAGGCGGCCGTTGCGGGAAGCAGAGCAAAAGGTGGGTTGCTGTTCCTCAGCCCTCCGGCCGTCGGGGTAGACGTAGGTGTAAACGTCGGTGGTGCACATTGTGTCTTGTGTAAACGTATGAGGGCGCAGCGTGCGCGGGGTTGGTGGTGAGGGTTGAACTACCTGCGTAACGAATGGAACTCGTCTCGCGGGTGTGGTCGATTGGGTAGAGGAAAGAGTCCTCGAGAGTGTTGGTGGACGTTGATATTCTCGATTGGAGTTGGCAGGACGACGAGATCTGTACTTATAGACAATGGTGTTGTCGATATAGTGAGCTTCGGGGTGGTGATAGGAAGACAACGTGTCGGTGTTGTTGGGGTGAAGTTGAAGTGGTATGTTGGAGCTTGTAGTGAATCGAATTTGTGGTGTGTCTGACTGTTGGTGGTGTGAGTTGGTGATCTTTCAGGAGAAGATGCAAGCGAGGATGAGAGACTATATACCAGCTTGGGAAGGATTCAAGAAGTCAGGTGTTGAATATTCTCAAAAAGGTTCTGCCTAAGTATAGAGAATGGATCGACTAGGTATGATAGATTGGGGTAGCGTCTGTTGTCTAAGTGCGGGAAGCGTTTGGCAAAGTGTAAATAGTCCAAGTGGAGATGTTGAGCAGCGTGGGAACAAGTTGTCTCGAAGAGATTCCACGTCTGAATTATATCGTCTGAGACGAAGAAGCGCGTTCTAATGGTGGTGGCATGGCAGACCAGGGGCAGCAAGTCGCTAGTACCCAGCGTCAGCCGCAAGAGACGGCGGAGGACCCAGGTATCGTGGGCTAAAGGTGCTGCAGGCCGTGGCATTGTGGAGATTTGAGGCCTTGTGAGGGTGGATTGCGCCTGGCCCATGCCCCCTCCCCTGTCAGACTGCTGCCTTCACAAGCATCGCTAGAGGCCGATGAGTCTTTGCTCTTGGCCGCTAGGCCTCTTTCGTGCTCGGTGCTCGCAGGGGTGTTTCTCTTTCTTGGGAGGGGAGGGTCGTTGGAGTCCTCGGCCTAGGATGGTTCCCCTCGCTGAACGTTTCCGAAAGAGCTCAAGTTTCCCTTCTGTCTCTTGCCCGCATTCCTCCGCTGGGGAAATACCTCTGGAAATATCGCACAGCCTCTTTTGGGGGAGGCCTACTGGTACTAGAGGCGGTGCACGGGAGGTGACTTTTGGGACGTTGCCAGGGTGGGCCACCATAAGCCGTCAAAATGAGGGCGCTGGAGGGAGCCAAGGAAGTTCGACAGTCGTGACAGGCTTGAGGGCGCACAAGTGGCGCTTTCTTGTGTTCTTCTGATGTGTCTGAGAGTAGTCCTCAATTCCCAGCTATGCGGCCTTGCGCATGAGGGTGTGGGTGAGTGCTGTGGATGCGGCTCGTGTAAATTGCGCCGCGATGTTGAATCCATGTAGTGGTATCTGGCTCACCGTGGGATGGAGAGGGAACCGACTGGCTGGTGGTCAGCGTCTCTATTTTTTTTCGTCTGGGTAGAGGTTGTGGATGGTCGCCGTGGAGGTCTGGCGTTGTCGCAGCCTCGTGTAGAAGATGACGAATCCGGACTTTTGAGTGGGAAAGCCGCGAAACAATAATGTGGGCGATATGATGCTATTTTGGCTCCCAACTCGGTACCATCCCTCATGCCACCACTTAAGTGCCAAAGTGTTTCCCCCCGGTTCTTCATCTATTCGACGCGGGGAGAGGCACCTTGCGCGCGCCGTTGGGGAAAGCCAGGGTGACATGGACAGCGGCAATCGAAACATTTCGACTGCAGATTTGGCCCGTGTTGGCCAGGCCCGACCTGAAGATGTTGATTATCGAGAAATCAACATCGTTTCCGAATAAGCGACAGCCGCCGTGGTGCTCGAGTCGCAACGATCTTCTGTGTTCACTCTGTTCAGAATCGGTGATGCATTAGCCAATCATCCCAATTAAACTTGGCGAATGACACCTGAGTCACTTCGGCCTCGCAAGGTTTTCATGCAAGCTCTTTGTTCGTCTTCTTGCGCGACGCTACAATGCGGTTTCTCTGAGTGGCCGGTAGGACCAGGTCCACTTAGTTGACTTGCAGATGGGCTGGTGTGCATGAGGCCACAATTGAAGCAGTCGATCATCGGACTCTGGAATCTGGCCAAGTGGCTGCGGGCCAATTCGATAAACTCCACCTCGCGGGAACTATCAACGATACCGTAGAAACTCGAGCACTTTAAACTTGCGTTAGCCCGTGCTAACCCTGCTAGCGCTCTAGCAGAACCGTAATACTACCTAAAGTAGTTAAATATAGCCGCTACCTATTTTTAATATATACTAATATTCCGATTAATCTAGTTAATAAGAGCTCGCCGTTAAGGCTAGACCTATAATTAATTTAATTTAATAATTATTTTAGCTTTTTTATTAGTTTTAAGCTTTTCTTATCGAATTAATAAAAATAATAAAAATATTAATTAAAAACTATCGTATATAAGTAACTAAAAGCCCCTAACTATCCCCTAGCTTATTATTACTAACGGGCCCCTATTTATATATTACGACCTAATATATATAACTAACCTAGAGGCCAGCCTACTAACTATAGCAACTAAGTATACTATATATATAAATAAAATAAAGATACGGCTACTCCCTATAAAATAAAAGAACTATAAATAAGTTACGTACTAATAAAATAAGGATTATTCTAGATTAAAATAATTTAATATAACTTAGGGGCTAAACGATTATTCTAAATTAAAATAATTAAGAACGACCTAAGGGATAAAAAATATATTTAGGGACGAGACTTATATATAGTATAGACTTAAGTTAGGCTTAAGGATAGACTTTTATAGCTTTTTTAATAATTAACTTAGTAAAACAAGAGGCGGCTTGCCTGCCTTCGGAAATGGCGGTCCTGACATGCCATTTTTGGCACCTGCCACATCGGGTAATTCTCGGCCACGCAATCCCTCGCCGGTTTTGCCAGCCCATAAATGAGCGACTGCCCCGCCC